ATAGCATGAATGAATCCATCTTTTCAAACCTAGCAAATATCTGGCAGTTTCCGTGTTCCCATAACTTCCCCTATTTAGTCTCATTCGTCTGCCCCTGGTGTGAGGTGGGTGGAGGGGTTGAGAACACACTTTGTTTATACAGCATTACATCCCTTTTTGCCCAAGAATATTCTAGCTCAAGTAATGTTTAATCCCTTTATTTGTATGGAAAGAGTAAGGTAATAAGATTTGCACCTATTTCTCAAATTAGATCCTGTTCCTCTGCCCCAAGAGGGGGTCACTTATTTCCTTTTGTCCAAAAATTTCTGGACCCTAATTTGGTTAGGTTCTTTAACCTGTGCTAAAATAGTAGGATTTTAAAAATTTACTTGAATTCCCCCTTTTCGGGTCTACCTTCTCCCCTGAGGGGACCACAGGACATGTATCTGTTCCTATAACCTGGAGTCCTCTAGATCTTTGCCCACAGTGATCCAGACCAAATCTAGACAAAATCCATTTAGCCATTCTGAATTGGAAGCAATATGAAGAAGAAAATGATAATGCATCTCAAAATATGAAGTTTAATTTATGTAGTGTCATGTGAATATTGACCTGTGTTTTTGTTGTTGTTTTTTTTAAGTTGAAAATACTTAGCTAATAAAAAAGTGACAAATAAGCATCTTGGACAAACAATAAGAACAGTTTTTCTATTGAACGAAATTGACCTGAACCTAAATATGCTTCATGCCATATCTAGCTCTTAGCTAGCCACAGGTTTACCAAAGAAAAACTATCTGAAGTCTATAGAATATTTGAACTATGCGACCTTTAAAGGTCAAGGTCAACCATTAAACAACTTTGATTTTCATTTATCCTAGCAAGCTTCACGCCATTCAATCTTCAACCCCTGCTTCATCTTAAAATAATGTCTTTTAAGCTTTCAACACATTTAAGACCTGTGACAATGAAAGTGTGTCAAGGTCACGCACTTGCACAAACATCATAGCCCTTCAAACCATACAGTAGCATGGGGTTTAATGAAGGTGTCTATGCTTTTAAACATATTTGAGATCTGTGACCATTAAGACTTGTTGTAGTTATTTATTAAATCTTGACATCTCCAGTTGAAGAAGTCCATGTATCTTATCAGTTTGACATAGGAAATTGTATTCAATAAAGATCCCTCTTAATGAGTAGAGTCTGACAGATCTACTATTTACAGTGTTTTAGTACTGAGGTCAAGGTCATCATGAAGTCATAGTGACATCACTCATTTAGTGCGAAAGACTGCCTTCATGTGATGCACCTATATAAAAAGTTTGATGTCCATTCATGAAACAGAAGTTATTTTAGTACTTAAGGTCAAGGTCAAAGGTCAAACTGAGGTCACAGTGACCACATTTTAGAATGCAACACACCTCTTTCCCATACTGTACCTCTAAAAAAAATATGGTTCCCCTTCATAAAACAACAGCTAAGACATGCTCTGGGCACCATTATTTTAGTTCTTGAGGTCAAAGTCAGAGGTCAATGTTGAGGTCAGTCAGCACAGATGGACACATGCAAGGAAAAGAAAATACTATTTACCCCTTACTTTATATAAACAAGAGGCCCAGAGGGCCTGTATCGCTCACCTGGATACCAGAGCAATCATGGCAAAATATTCTCCGAATGAGATCAAGGGAATATGCCAGACCTCAAGGTAAATCCTTGTAGCATATCTGTATTAGATTCTTCATGCCCAGCAATTTTAAGAATAGTTATGGGGTGGGGATCTCAACTGTTTCCAAGCTTTGACTCAGAAACTAGGTCCCTAGGGTTGTGGCCAGACCCCAGGATCAATTGTAATATCGTGACCGCATTTGTCTCTTTTTGCCCAGCATTTGTATATATAGTTTTTGGGTGGGGATCTCAACCATTTAAAAGGTATGACCCAGGGGTTAAGTCTGCAAAGGTGGGGCAGACCCTGGGGTCAATTCTAATATCATGACTGCATTCATCTTTTTATGCCCAACAATTGTATATATAGTTTTGGGGTGGGGATCTAAACCATTTCGAAGTTATGACCCAGTGACTATGTCTCCAAGGGTGGGGCCAGACCTGGAAGCATATGTGCAATCATCTCTTTATAATCAGCAATTGTATACCATGGTTATATTGGTGGGGATCTCAACCATTTCCAAGTAATACACTTTTTTTGGCCCCACCCATTAGCCCGGGGGTTCAGCCCCATTATTTGTACAATTTTGAATCCCTGCCTCCCATGAATAATTCCGACCAAATATGATCCATGGCATAGTTCTACAGTAGAAGTCGTTTATAGCAATATAGCCAAATTGACCCCTTTTTGGCCCCGCCCTCAGCCCCACCATTTGCATAATTTTGAATCCCCACCACCTAGGGATGCTTCCAGTCAAATATGGTTGATATCCATGGCATAGTTCTACAGAAGAAGTCGTTTGTAGCAATATAGCCAAATTGCCCCCTTTTTGGCCCCGCCCTCAGCCCCACCATTTGTATAATTTTAAATCCCCACCACCTAGGGATGCTTCCAGTCAAATATGGTTGATATCGACTTCTTAGTTCCAGAGAAGAAGTCGCTTAAAGCAATATAGCCAAATTGACTCATTTTGGCCCCCACCCCTCAGCCCCCTGGGGGGTCAGCCCAACCATTTGTACAATTTTGAATCTCCACCACCTAGGGATGCTTTCAGTCAAATATGGTCGATATCCATCTCTCAGTTCCAGAGAAGAAGTCGCTGAAAGCAGTATAGCCAAATTGCCCCCTTTTTGCCCCGCCTCTCAACCCCCTGGGGGGTCAGCCCCACCATTTGTACAATTTTGAATCCCCACCACCTAGGGATGTTTCCAGTCAAATTTAGTTGAATTCCAATCAGTGGTTAAGAAGAAGAAGTCGTTTAAAGAAATTGTTGACGTACGGACGACGACGGCAACGGTATAGGACCAGGTGAGCTAAAAATTGTCCAACTTATCATTCACTCTTGTTGGACTGGAAAGAAGCACACAGAGGGTCTTAATGTGGGAGGAAGCCAGAGTACCCGGAAAAAACCTAAGTGCTTGTGCAGGTGACTCAGTACACTTTCATGTCTGACTAGGGAATCAAATCCCAGTTGTCTTCGTGCAGGGAAAAATGTGCCATCCACGGTGCCACCAGACCACCCATGTATTGGTGTAAGCCCCTCCCCACATCTGTTTTAGGAGTTAACACACTTTATGTACAGACAATGTAATAGTAAAACCCACTGGGATATCGTGTAAAAATGTTTACATTTTGCTCAACACTTCTTGTGGAGTAGTCATTTTAAGGTTTAACCACTAATTCTCGTTTTAGGCCTCATTTCTCTGTCCTTTTCCAGTTTATAAAATCCAACACAGCATCATTAATTTGTATAAGTTGCTCAACAACCACACTTCATGTTAACTTTTTATAAAATTCAATTCCTTCATTCACTTTGGTCTCTTATCTCAATTTGTGTGCTTACCATTCAAGAGAACATTCACAAAAGTGTGAAGGACTGGTAATAGCATATCTACAATATTGGCAAATTCTGCTGAAAATCCATTTTGACCTTTGAACCAAATTTTTGACCTTGACAAATAGATGGTCAACAGCTTGACTCCATGACAAGGCATATGGTGACTTGACCTTGAGGCCAGGTAAGCTAAAAACAAAAACAATTTAAGGAACTGTTCAAGCAGCAAAAGATAAATCAACAAATAAAATATATTTTTTCAAGTTTATTTTTTGTCAAATTTAGGTGTACAACTTTTTTGAGACAGAGTTTAATTCGTCCATTTTTACAATAATATTACATCTCTATTGGCACACTCAAACAGACAAAACACCCATACTATGTACAACAGAACCTCTATATACCAACCACCTTTCTATAACAGTCTTTAATGAGTCTCAACTTGATGATTACTACAGGGAGGGCCACACAATGAATACCGACTCTCTTAGTCTGTGGTCAATGGAGACGGACACTGAACGTTTATATGCAGGAAATCATTCAAATACAGGGTCGGTATGTAGAGGTTCCAGAGTACTAAAAAGAATCTATGTGTTCAGCCACTACACACAAGTGCAAAGATACAGTCGTGCAAGAGAAATTATTCCAGTCCATTGATTGGCTGTTGCCATGACAAAACCTGTCCAATCAGAAACCAGTAAATTAAGACAATCTAATTTAAGAAGACAACCAATGTGACAGGTTAAGTCATGTCATTGACAGAATTAGATAAACGAGAATTATTGAAAATAAACATTATCAAAAAAAATCATTTAAAAAATAAATCTGAACTTATTTTCAATTATACTTATGATTGTGCGATGGCAACAACAGGCAGTGTTTTAAAAGACTGAACAGGGACAAGAAGTCCAATAAATAGCAAACTGATATTTGAATATTTTTAAAGATAGTATAAAGTACCTTCTTTGAAGATAGAACACACCAAAATCATTCAGAAATTGACTTGGATTCCAAACATGCATTTGTAAAAGGCGATTTCTATTGAGACAGTATCCAATTGATGGCAGATTTGCCCTATATGCAAATACGGACAGATTCACTCAATATACCAGAATCTGTGGTCGATCATGCATGCACATTCTTAAAATGTTTGTCATTGATTCAGGCTAGCGTATGTGAATCAAACGGTTAGCAAGTCATGAGTATTTTCTTTTTTAAATGGATTTCATTTTCTTTGTTGGAAGCAAGCAAATACATTTTTGCTCTCATCAAATGTGTATAAGATAATAATATTTTCTGATACTCGTTCATCGAGAAAAAGCAATGCTTAAATGCATTATGATTGAGATTCTATTATAACATGATTGTCGTTTTTACATATGAAATCTGAGATTACTCTACATTTTAAAACAAAATAATTCATTCACACATTAAATGCATTTGAATCTCCAATTAAGATTTTTCATATTTTTACTTCATGTACTTTTGAAAAAACAAAATACTGATATATATACTACATAAATATTCTAATTTTGTTTTGAAGTTCAGAGTTACTCATTTTGTTTTTTTAATTTCGTTAAAATTAAAAAATATTAACAAAATTACCATATAAGCCAAAATAAGACATGCAAAAAAATCTATTTCTGAAAAAAAGCACCATAGCAAATTGAATCTAAAATGAAAAATCTACATAAACACAAAGACAACAGCACTTAATAATATACCCCTAGATCAAAGGAAACCGACAAAAAAATGCAACAAACATCTTGAAGTGTTCCTTTTATACCAGAAAACATAATGACCTTCTGATGGGGTGGCTTTGAAAAAAACAACACAAAACCTGTGTGTTCAATTACAAAATTGTTTAAAAAAAAACACGTGGAGGAAAACAAAGCTAGCTGTTTGTGGCACAGCTTGTGGCTATACACCAAGACAGTGTAATATATACAAATATATATATGACAATTTTCTATACATATTTCATATTCAATTTGGTCCCTCGTTTGTACTTGAGAAGGAAACAGAAGCAACAAGTTCATTTATATACATATAAATTAACAGTGGTTTATACACATGGCAGGAAAATTATCAATCACAGGTGTTTTAGGAAACATATGGCAGCGTTCAGGAGATATTTACAAATGTATATCTAAATTTGTTTACGAGCCGTCACTCAACCTTAAAGGGTAGACATCGGGGAATCTTGTTAAGCCATTGTATCTGTAATAAGCCCACGCTCAGTAATAAGCCCACCCTCCTGTAAAACAGATATAAATGGTGAGGTTCATGTAAAAACTTTTGAAAAATAACAAACTTGAGGAGAAGTCAATGTCTTCATGTCCCCAAGTTTTTATTCAGGACTAAACCTCCTGGGCTTTTTACAGGTAAAATATGATGCTCTGGGGCTTACCTTAGACATGTGGTATCGGAGAGTAACAAAATGGGAGGTAACAACACCATTTTGTGGAAATTTTACTCCCCAAATCTTGGTCAACGAGAAATAAGAAAATAATCATTGGAAAATAATTCTTAACAATACTCTTCTTAAAACAAATTTCTACCAACTTTTCAGATTCACAATATCCAGGAATGGAATTAAGATTTGAAATAACAACATAATCTAACAAATTTTTCATCTTTTAACCACAAAATTAAAAAAAATATATCAAGTTCTGCTAAATTCAACAAAATACAGGAATGTATATCGAATGTTGTTCAAACGAAGATTTATCTTTTCAAACTGCCCTAAAGACAACTTACAATAATAACATTTCCAAATTAGGAATTCGACTTTATAAAATACACTCTGATGGAATGACATTTTTAATCTTTGGTCCATTATTTGAAAAAAATATTCATCTTGAGAATGCTTGGTCTCCAGATAGTAATGTTTTTGTAATCTTTGGGAATCATTGAAATCATGTTGTCATGATCCGATGCAATTAATAATAATTAGAACATCTTTATGGTGAAAAGCCACAGAAGAAATCTCATAAATTATCATGACTAGTGCAAATATTTTAACTGCCAACTTCAAAAAATAAATTACGATGATATTTAAATGCAGAGACGGTATGCTGACAAATGACAGTTTGTTCTGTCTATAAATAGATGAAAATGTCTTTTCATTTTTGATCACTCTCTCACGATGAACAAGCCAGTTGAGTTGGGGTTGGCGTACGGTTAACAAACTCGCGTTCTGGTAAAACAACACTGTTGTAAAAACCATTGTGGGTAGGAGTTGTCTTCCCTTCCTCATTGTTATTTGATAAGATTTGTTGATCGAGACAGATTTTCTTCATATGAGGCTCGTCCGTTTCTTCCATATCTGCCTCCATGTCCGAATCCTCCTCGGCCATGTCAAGTTTGTCGGTACGATCCATCTGATGGTCGAGAAGCGGATGCTGCTGGATTTCACCATTCAAAATCCCATGTGACAGTCCTGAATCGGTTGCCTTTCCGATGAAGTTACGAATCTCGGAGAAGTAAGATTCGTCTTTCTCGTCAAGGTCGGGTTCGTTGATTGGGGAGTCTATCACGTTGGGGCCTTCGGATTCGTGCTTCTTAAGATGGCGGTCAAGATTTGTCTGCTGACCAAAGCAGCGATCGCACAGTGGACATTTGAATGGCTTTTCTTTGTTGTGAATATTCCTCACATGTCGCTGGAGATTGGAGGAAATACTGAAGGATCGTTCGCAGTATTTACACTTGTATGGCTGTTCACCCGTGTGGGTTCTCAGATGACGGGTCAAATTGGCCGATCTTGGAAAAACCTTCCCGCAGAACTTACAGGAGTAACGTTCCTTAAGTTTGTTGGCAGGATATGAAAATTGCTCTGGAAATTTGTCCATTTTAAGTACGGGAGACAACGTTTTGTCCATGTTTTCTGGTTTCATTCCAAATGGACTGATATGAGAGTTTACAAAGGGAGAACTTGTAATTGGGAATCTGGCATATGGCATGTACCTAGCGTTTTCTTGCAGGCACTGGCTAAGTTTTTCCTTGTCCATGCGCATTGTCTGTTCATACAAAAGCTGGTTGGGGAATTGTGGGTATGCATAGTGAAGCTTTGATGACGACTCTGAAAACATCACTGGCGACTTCATTTCTCCAAAAATGTGTGTTTTTCTCGTGTCGATGGGGCTGATCTCTTTGGGAACCTTCTGTGTGAGGTCCAGTGGTTGTTCACCTGGTGCCTCTGATGACTTCTCCTTAAGTTGCGAGGACAAGTCAGGTGAGGACACGGCAGACTTGCTCGATTTTGAAAGATCAAATGGCGTGTCCTGTTCATCATGGGACTTCTCCAGGACAGGGCTCCTGGTGGATGTTGACCTCGGAGACATCGCCTGGGAGACAGGTTCTGATTGAAATTTAGATGGAAGAAAGCCAACAGGTCTTGGGGATTCCATTAAGACTGGTTTCCGATGACGTCGTACACTACTTTCACTCTCGGCATCGGAAGCTGAACTACCATCATGTTCACTTGACGAACTCAGGGGAGAGTCACTTGGCTCGGACCCAACAGAGTTTTTTCGGAATCTCTCTTCTTTCACCATTTCTGGCTCGGATGATAGAGGCCTTGGTGAAACTCTTGGGATAAAAGCTTTACCCTCAGGACTTGTGGCGTGGCCAAGTTTAGAAGGGTTCGATGGTGACATTGGCGAGTTCAGGGATCCGAAAGGAAGATGAGATCCGGGGAACACTGGATAAGAAGCTCCGAGTGGAGGGTAAAATGGGTATGGATGGCGGTACATCCCCATTAACAAGGCAGGGTTTAGAGTACCAGCTGGATTTCCGGCATTGTGCAAGCTCATTGGTGAAATCTTGTCGGCAGAGAAAGGCATGTGCATGCCGTTGCGGAGAGCTCCCTCACAGAATCGCTTGTGCTTGCTTAGCGAGGTGACAGTTGAGAATGCCTGGCCACAGTCTTTACATTTGATCTGTTGACGGCAATCGGCGTGCATCCTCTTGTGGCGACAGAGGTTGGAGAATTGTGTATAGGCCTTTAAACACACTTCGCACTGAAACGGCTTTACGCTACTGTGGATGTGCTGGTGCTGTTTCAGACCGCTTGATGTCGCAAATGTTTTCCCGCAATCTGTGCAAGCATGACAGCGTGCTCCAACATGCTGGGCCCGGATGTGGCGCTGAAGGTTGCTTGGGTCCGTGAAGATTTTATCGCAGTTTTCACAGTTGTAACGTTTCCCGGAATCATGGGATATCTGGAATACAAATAAAAATACCATAAAATTAAAGAAAATATATAGAAATGCATTTAATCATAACATTGATAAAAAAACAATGTATTATTTTGAAATTAACATAAAACCACCAATAATAAAATTTACAACAGAGGTATTAACTTTAAAAAATCTTAAACAAATAGTCCTCTAAAAATTGTATCAGATAATTGCTTATGTTACACATTGACTCATTCACCCCTGAAAATTCATAATGAACTATTCCAACCTTTGAATTGGAAGAGTTCAAATGTCTTCAGGGGTGAATGAGTTAAAAGTGTTTCGCCACAGCCATGGAGACGGTATTAATATGAGAGTACAATAGCTTAGATTACTTTCTTATATAATCATTAGTGAGATGTTTACCTGGTGACGAATTAGGTTAGACCTCCACTGGAAGCTACGAGGACATTCTTCACATTTAAATTCTCCGTCCATCGAATCGTGTTCTGCAAGATCATCTCCGTCATGTAGACTGAAACATATCAAAAATTAAAATCTATTAAAATTATGCTTTAAATAAAAGAGAGATACAAATATAGTGCAAAATAAAAATATCTGGCAAACGGTTAATATGGTAGGCGGTGGTTGAGGTCACATACATATATATGTATGTATGTCTAAGTACGGAGCTGTTGAAACGTAGACAATAAAATGTCCATCCCTTCAAACACGACATAAGCCATATATGTAGAAATTGAAACCCTTGCACTTGTGTGGCAGACAAGCACGTAGAGTAACATCAATAGATTGTTAAGTACTTAGTATGGGAGTAAAACCTGTGATTACACGTGGACATGAGACACTAACAAAGGAGCTGTGATTCTCACAGTTTCAAACTATATCTGTGTGGTAGGGTGTTTCCTTCTCACTAAGGCGGGGGTCAGCGGAGGCCATGTTCTAACGTTACAAAGAATTTTATCATTATTTTTTACAAGGCATCTTTAATTAGACTTTGGTGAACCAGGAAATAGCTGACAATCTTAACCGATTCCTCCTATCTCCACTGACACAACTAATTTTAAATATGATACCGACCTGACTTTTGTGTCCTCTTACAAATGTATATCTCTAATTGACGCTCATTGAGTTACAGATACGGTACTTACAAAAGAACTGTTTCTTTCTCTCAGAGAAAGGGTCTTTTTCAAATACCAGTAATTTCCCTTGCCCTTTTACCTTTTTATATACTTAATGCTACTGATTTTTATCGTAATAGCTGAATCCATTTCGTTACTTAACTGACAACATTATGTCAGTGATGTCACAAAAATTCAGTTTATTTTCTTCCAACTTAACGACTCATTTAATAAATTGTAAAATCATGTATTAAGATAGAATTAAAATCAATATAATTCTTGCAAACCAACAGAAGTAGCTAATTATCAAATTTCTATAAATGTTAAAATCTTTTGTGTAGAAAATCAATTTGTTTTATGGTAAATGAATAAACAACTTTTCATTTTCAATGAAAACGAAATTGATTTGTTTTTTTTACATAATTGACACTCTTAGCTCAATGCTTTAATGAATAATGAAATAATGATTTTATGGAGTAATTGTAGTCAATAATTAAATTAATCTATTATGATAGTTATCTTGGGCGTCACAAAAACTAGATCTGTATCTTTTATGTAGTACATCCTGCTTGTCCCAAATATCATCACATTAAATTAAATACATGATTAGACTAAGATTGCTGAACACAACATATTATTAACTGTTATTTGCTATATCAGACCAGGAAATGGAAGTTAAAACTGGACTAGTGTATAAATATTACGTCAAACTTGGGAAGTCTTTTTAACGATATTAAATCATCTGCAGCGTTACACCTGTACAATTCAAACATAATAAAGATAGAGATTTATGAAACACCTCAAAGATAAATTAATCTTCCTGCATTTCGTTGAGAAAATAGTCAAATTCTTGTTTGATTCGCTATTTATTCCGTGTGATTTTTTATTACGAAATAAAACCAACGCCCAAGACGGAAAAGACACACAATCATTATACACCGAATGACATTATTGAAAATTGATTTAAATCCCAAGCTTTTATCTGATCAAGATGACACGAATGATTCTTGATTTATGTCGATATGCAGGTGCCCGATACTTGAAATGAATTTTATAATATTTACTTTAGGCATAAACGAGTACATCACGAATTACTGCGTTTGTTTCAAAGGATTCCAACGAAAGATATCGGAAACAAATACCACTCAGCTTGGACAGATATGTCCTGTTACTCTTAAACCAAATCAAACATAACAGATTTTTCCTTATTTGTATAACAGATTAAATGATCTATTGGACTGATCTTTATCACTAAAAATCTGATAAATTTTGCATCTAATTTCTCTGACGTACTTGTTGAATATTTGCAATAGATATAAACCGACCGTTAACATACAAATGTCATTTGTCCATGGTAATGACATGCACAGCAAGCAGTAAAAATAAATTACAAAATATATAGATATGCACTTTGTCCGAGATAAGAGTTTGACTATATTTAAACAGTACGATTCCTTATAAAACTGTGACATGCGATATAAAACTGGTTTTCCTCAACTGAAGAGCTACTTGGAATAAAAAAAAAGCCCTCTGATGTTACCAGGTTTTAAAACAAGCTGCTTAAGAAAAATTACAGGACATTTTTACCCGTTCTTGAGATGGGACTGTCTTATCACTTAAACTTAAATGCATCGTCCCGTTATATCGAACCTATGAATTTTAACTTTTTAAAATACACAAAGTTATTTTCCATATCAATTAACTGACTTTTAACAAACAATTTTTCTATTTTATATCTCTTTTTAATAAATTATATCTTTTTAGAAAACATTATCATTGATGAAGATAAATACCTTGTGCTTTCATCCTCTGACCGGCTGTACTGGTCTGAATTGGTTTCGTGCATTTGCAGATTTGGCTTGGGACAGGACAGGGCCTGGTGATGCTTCAGAGTCACCAAACTGCTGAACACTTCCTCACAGTCGGAACATTTGTAGTTAAGATCTCCTGAAAAATACAAAAACAAGACAAAACATGAAAATAGGAAACAAGAAAAACAAGAAATCAAAATCAGAAGGATTGAAAAATAAAATTAAAAATAAAATATTTTTCATTTCCTTCCCATAAGAATTACTTCAATCTTGTAGATACTTTGAGTAAAAACCAAGCCATGTGAAAATAACTCCACACGTTTGACCAATTAACTTGATGAACATGTACACCCCTTTCCTACCCAGCAGAAATTGTCCAATAAAAATCAAATCCATTTCTACGAGATAAAGATGGCTGCCGATTTGTGACAATTACCCCCATTATTAGTAATCTATTGACTATAAACCCGTACCTGGAGGCATAATTATTTACCAATAAACCTCAAACTCAGTGGTCTGATCTCACACGGTAAACGTTCTCCTACAGATTCAAAAGTGATCCCGACGACATACATTGTCTTGTGTCCATTTTAGCCATTATCTGTAAAACCCCCAACTTAAGTGGTTAAGAAGCTGTTGTCAATTGCTCAGGTGAAAATTAGCCTATGATCGCGTCAAATATACCACTGTAGCAGTCGGACATTGTGCTTTGGATGAGCCATAAAGATAGCGGAAACCCGGATGGGACACAATAAAACTATCGTCTCAACTTCTTCTTGGGACAAATTTTAAATCTAAATCAACAAAGATGACTATTTTACAGCCGTGATCTCATCCCAGATGAACATATGGTCATACTTGGAAAAGTTGTAAAACCATATATCTCTCCCGCAAACAAACTTTACAGCACACCAATGCACTTTTTAGTGTCTCTCTTAAATAGAGATACTGTATTTGAAGTATATTGTTAAACGGCTTCGACAAACTTATAAAAAAAGGGAGATTTATTGTGTTTCTGATAATAAAGGTCTGCCTAAGCTATTGCCGTTTTTTCTTTGTATCCTCATATCTTTGTCATTCCCCCCCCCCCCCCCCCCCCCCCTTCTACCTATAATAACTGTGGCAATGGCTCATGCGTAAAAAAATATCTTGTCATCTAATTCAATTTAGTAAAAACGTCTTTTTAACTAATGAGAAATTAATTCAGACAACTGAAGGCTAAATGGTGTTCGCAACATAATATTTTCTGCTTGATAAGGTGGAAAAAATGGAGCAAAATCTAAAGAAATAAAACTTTCGTATAATAAAAATTGTATCTATAGGCCAGGGTACAGCTTTATTTAATAATAAAGAATGCAGCTCACACAATATCATTCAACAGATGAGATACAAAAAATATATTAAGATTTCAGATCCAATTTAATTTACGTCATCTTTCCATTACGGTATCAGAGTGCAGCTGGCCAGGTTTGAGCGTGGAGTACGACTTTTGTTCCAGCACGACTTCACAGTCAGCCGATCAACAATCGACACAAGTAGAACAGATTACATTTTCTCATTGTCTGCACGAGCCATCTTCATGATTTCATACAGATAAGAGTTTTGATAGAGAGACCTAAAGCAGATGAACTTAGACTTCATGAATAGACGCTGCAAAAATAAATAATAGGGATGAAGAAAATGTTGGTCTAACGGTTTTAGTGAAAGCAGGTGTCAGGCCGACCTTATCTGTATCAGGAACCAGCTTTTTTGTAAAGTTTAGCTTTCACAGGATAAGGTCCTCATTGCAGAACGCTTTTGTCTGCGGAGATCACAAAAGACAAGATGGCAGGCATCTGCTGCGAAGAGTGTGGACTAGCGAAAACATTAACAATAGCAAAAACCAGGTACGGCACACGACTGTTTGTACGAACGACAGACCGAGAGGGTTTTTATTAGAATATACGGGGAAAGGCTGTACTACTGCCCAACCTATCCATTAGGCGTGGAGTGTGTCCCCGAATGACAAACAATTTTCGCAAACATCTTGATATCAGCCCCTGGTTGTGTAAATTTAAAAACATACAATAGCGTTGACATTTTGAATTAGAGATGCGTCCAACAGTTAAAAAGGGCGATATAATTGTCCACTAAATGACGTAAAAATGAGTTTTGGATGTAATCATAGCCTTTTGGGTTTGTCAATAACGGGTAGAGCTATTAAAATGAGACGTCGTCAAGATATTATTACAAATAAGATTGATGTGAAGTGACAACCCTCAGGCCACATATTGAACAAAGTCAACTCACACTTTGTTACCTCATTATAAAACTAAATAGCTAAAAATATTTCAGCTATTCAAAAAATAAATTAACATTACCTGGAAAAAATTAATTTGAAATATAATCTTGGTATTTTTGAAATATTATACAAAGCAAGAGATACTTATTTTATTCTTATTTTTGTTAACTTTCAAAAATGAAGATAAAATTAAACAAGACATTTAAAAAAAATACTGATATACAATAAAAAATATATACAATTCCCCCCCTCCCCCCCAAACAAAATTAGTGCAATAATGGTGTTTTAGAAGTGCCATGGTATAATGACTTAGCCACTTTGCATTGGCTGACCAGTCACCACAGGGCTCCCTCAATTTGGTGGCCCCCTCCCAGTATTAATGACATAGATAGATGCATACCCCTCCCTCATTACCCGTAGTGACAGGGGCGGGTAGCTCTGTCTGCGTGGTGGGACCACTTTTTTGGCAGCACTTCTGTGATGGGATGATGACAGTGTATAGAGTGGGTTGGTGCCAAACATATATTAGACCATATCTGTTACTCATTAAGATCAATACAGCTTGTTGAGTGGTTTATTTGGAAGTTGATCATTTTGGGAGACAAGTGCCCGGTTTTAATGAGAGACTCTCCATCAAGTGCTGATAAGAGGGGCCATAATCAGGGCCCATCCCACCAATTAAACACCAATCATCTATTCCTGTCCTCCGTAAATGTCATCAAGTGTCCGCACTGTCAAAGATGCTGCTGAAGCCGAGACGCCTCATTAAGGAGGCAAGCCCCATAAAATATTGTGAACTATTGTACAAGTGGCAAGATTTTAAGAAAATATCATTTGAAACACTAGTTACTTTTTTATGCAAGTTAATCTTGACAACTATTTCTATTTAAGCAATTTTTGTAATTACTGTTTCATAAATATTACAATAGTAATTGATATTGGTAGCTTTGATCAGTTATTTTTTATAATAAAATATAAAAAATGTGACATATTCACACAATATCGTCAGCAGTAACAAGCTCCGGAGGCGAACAATTCTTATACATGGAGTCAAGATACATTTTACACGCAAACCGACAAATTTGCAGTATTTTGTGTCCTGGTATCAGGCGGTTGGCTGAACGCTGCGGTATGAGCAACCGTAAGTGTTTCTCCTGAGTGATGCGACAGATAACACCAGACATCCTGATAGGTCACCACTTAACTTTTAAATAATTAGAATTCGTAAGATGACAAGGTATTACCGTTGGTCGTATATGACAATGAGTGCCGTCAAGGAGGACCAAGTCAAAAGTCCACATCTGATTAAAGCGTGTTGCAGTGTTCCGGATGCGAAGCAGGAGATAACTTTATAGGGCCTAATGTTTTAATTGTTTTGCCGACGAGTAATCAAGAGTGTGTCAAAATGATATGGCTACTGTTTTATCCGGTTTGGACAAATCCGCAATTCTTTTCTCAGAAAGCGTAATAACCAACTTTAGTCAAACTGACTGATGAGACACCACCAGCCATTGAAATAAGCCTACTTAAATTTCATTATTAACTTCCGTTATCTATCAAAAGAAATCTTTTTCAAAGAAGACAAACATTCTTGAAATTTTAAACAAAGCATTTTTAATCTTTGTTTCTCTTGAGAAAACAATCTTTTCCATGGAAAGATGCACTTTCATTTATGATATGGACATTTCAGAGAAGGAATGAATCTTTTTCAGAATAATTTCCATGACAATTTTTTATCATTAAGTTAAAAACGTTTAAATAATTTATCAAGGGAATCACTGCACAGTTGTGATTGCTGTCTACCTCGCTTAGCACCGCACCTGTACAATAGCGATCATCAGTCATTGTTCAAAAGCAGGTGGTTCCAAAAACTTTTTATCATTCATTTTTTAATCTGCTCTTTTTACATGTTATTTTCCTCCTGTGTGATGGTCACTTCCATGACAAGAGATGACCGGTCAGTTGTGGTCACTCCGGTGTCATCAGTGGTCAAGCCATTTCCCAGGGACATCAATTGATTATACACATTAAAAATTCAAATGAAATATTTCACATGAAAAAAACAGACCTATACGAGTGAAGAGGCTGGTCCTTGGCCATATCCGATTTAATTATAATGCATCTCTCAATAGCCAGTGGTCACTCGGTGGTCACTACAATGCCAAGTGTCCAGTTCCTTTAGACTGACATAAACCGACCCTTCCCATGACCCTAAGATATGTCTTTCGCCAGGTCAAGATCTGAGACTTTACCAACTGACCGCTGGTTCGAGCAATTTTTTTTAAGGCCATTGTCCAGCGAGCAAAACAATCAAAGGATGTGAGCGGCTATTTCTAACCGACATTTTATATTATAATAATTCATAAATTTTCTGAAAACATAGCTTTTGTCCAGTTAAGAATCCGAAGTCAGGACCTGAGTCCCTTTGTCCAGCGATGTCCACTAGTGGTCATTTTTCTGCATACAAAATTAATGGGGGCTTAAAACTAATTCTTTGCAGAAGTCTTTTTGCAGGGAAAAAGTTGACAGGGGTATGACACTGCGCTTCAGACAGCAGCTGCCACAAAATTTATTTCTCAGGCCAAACTGACCAATGGTCAGTGAAATGACCAATAAAAATAATGCATTTTTCTGTGCTGTTTCATGCTTTATTGAAATTATTTTGATATTAATTGTATTTGTTATTTTTGTTAAATTTTTGATTACTGAAAATAAATTTGTGGCTCTAGTAAGCTTGACATGACATTGCATTGACATCCTTTTTCATCTCCTTTTGAAATTAGGCAGAGTCTATGACAATTGGTTGATGCAAAATCTAATATATAATCAATTTGTCATTTCCATGGGAAATTCTGCAGCTTGTTTCAGGATTTAATTAATCTTTCAAGTTTATCTAATATATTCCTAACTACTGTGATAAATCAGACCCCCCACCTTGTTTTGATTATCACACAAATCAATCAATGTATTGCTAATAAACTTTCATATCAATTTTTTTTTCTCTTTTTGAAACATAAAATGTTTCAAATTTTTATATTTAAATGTAAATAAAAATCCAGATTTTTTTTTTACAATTTCTCTAAACATTAAGATGAAGCTGATCTGTGAAATTTATCTGTGAATGATTTCAAAATCCATTTATTTGCCATTAGTTTGATCCAACCACCGGTAAGTCAGTCTTTCACCGAAAAGAATCTTTTATACTGTCCAAATTACATACTTCCTTCAATTCAATTGAAATCCAATTACAGTTTTAACAATTAAAATCAATTCTGCAATGCCGCTAGTTGTGCGGGGTCTGTCTATGAGCAGAATTGGAGGGCTGGTTTTGCCTATAAACATGAGGAGTTTATCAATAGGAAACTAATATATTGTATTCTTAAAATCCCGGTAGAATCAAGGGGTCCCAGCTTGGATTTGCTCAGAATCACACACAGGTGAACCTAACCCTAAGTGTCCCCGAGATTGTATTTGATCGAAAGTCATTAGCGAAGTTTCTGCGATTATCCACGATTTCTCTTTATCATTCCGCTAGGTGAGCCTCCACCCTCCATTTCCGCAGGTGAACCAGTACAACTTTATTATAGAAGAAGAAAACTTTTTATTATCTTGTCCTATTTGACTCACCCACATTGAGGTTACCCGGGTACCTTCAGGTGAGTTCGAACGTTTGCATTGTACCCGTTTGTAGGCTTAACCAGAAACTTGTATGTAGAATAATAGCGTGACTTTAAGCAATCAGCCGTCACCTGATTTGACATATACACAGATAAGGTCACAGAGGCTCATGGTCTTATTCACAGCGGTTGACATCACTTGTCAATTTTTTTAAAGCTTTTAAACAATTTGTGAAAACAAATGAGGAATTTTAACTGTCCAGTGTTTGAGGGTTGGTATAGAGCCGTGACATGGAGTGAGGGTGCTCCATCTCGGAAACATCATAAATTACAACCATGCATAGGTACATGCCAACTTTCTACCCCGTCACAACAGCCTGATGAAATTATCCCCATTAGGTTCATACAATACCAGCCCTTAATTAGGATTCCAGTTACGACCCTGTAACACATATTTCATTCTGAAATCCAAATCTAGATAACTGACACTTGTAATCACTTTCATCATTGTTAATATATCTGTCCAAAGGATTCACAATTTATACAACCTTTTTGATTCAAGAAACATACATAATTGAACATTTGAAAATTAATTAAGAAGTCGAGATATTTTGTTTTTTGCCGCAATTATGCAAAGATTTACCTGCTGAAGTAGGTCCAATTCCTTATATAATTTAAGTCCAGTAAGCAACTTAATTAATTTTAAATCGTCCGAAATTAAGTCATCCCAAGGTTATTTTATTCCTATTTAATAAAATTCGCTTTTATAAAATATGGTATTAATTTCTTTATCATTAATCAATACAGTTCCGTTTGACAAATACAATTTAGATTTAAAACAAACTAGAAAATTGTTTGTCAATCTTTTTGAAATTTGTTCTTTTATTACCTTAAATTCATATTGCAAAATATGCTGTTTTTTTCTAAGTTCAAATCAAAAATCAATACTTCTGTTATTTTACTTAGCTTTAGAAGTCCATTTCTTTAAAAAAAAAGTCATAGAAGATTTCTTATAATCTACAATTATTAAAGTAACATGAATTTCAGTGTAAGAAAATGTTATCAATCCGAGCTAATATGGGTCTAATCCTTGAAGATTTTAAGCTTATCAGTGTGTGATCCTAGAAGATTTTTAAAACATTGGAGCATAATGTTCTGCAGATACCTACATCCATGTACAAAGCAATAATTATTGGACATATTAATTAAGCAAGAGACTGTATGACATTGTTCCGATTCTGAGGTTATAAGTGTTAATTAATTATAGAACATTTTAATTAGCAAGATATTGTAACATACTGTTCAAGTACCTTGAAATTAGCGATTGCTATGAAGGTAATTAGCAATGTATTGCCAATAGGGATGTTCTAATGAAGAGACACCTGTGGATCTAACACTTAATAATCGTCTTGTTAATTAACTGTCATTCTCAAGCCAGGGGATAGAACAAGCATGGACTAATGCAAAAATAATCCTCTGGACAAGATTTCAATATCTTTGATCTTCACTTCCACAATTAGACAGCATATTTCCTTACCAAACTGCTTTAAAATGTTTGAAAATCAAAACAACATCTCTTGAAGAGTCACCTGTAGGTCTAACAGTTAATTATTTTCCCATTAAATACCTGCTAATTCTCAAAGCTTGGGATGGACCCAAAACAAAATTCAACAGTTATCACTTTCATTCCCACAATGAGACAGCACAACCCAAAGTAGTCATCTTATGAGTTAAAGCACCCTTATTTCTCACTATTCTTCAGGAAAAATTCACTCTTTATAGCAATGACATGCTAAAACTGTTACTGTGAACATTAGATAAGATAGGTGATTTACTACCTTTAGCTCAACTCGAAGACACAATTGAATAAAAATTGACTTGTTGCTAACAGCTGTCAGACACATCAGATATATGTGGGTAGTGAAAATCAACATCTTAATATGTCAGGGGAAAAAATGCTTTGTAATCCTTACAACACAAAATAGGAATTGGAAATTAATGCATAATCCTATTTTATGGTTAATTAAGAAGTACAAACTAATTGTAACATTACATGCACCTTGTCTTTTTTTTGCAAAAAAAGATAATAAATAGTAAATATTTATCATAATATTGAACACTTCAATATGAAAATACGATTTGAACAGTTTAATCAAAGAATAAAATTAAATTTTTAAGAACTTTTGTAATAAAACTGACCTTCTAATTTGGGTTTCCATCCTTTTTCCCCATAAAATCTGCTATTATAATAGCAAGATTTTAATGAGAGAAAAAAAATTTCAAAAGAAAACTACAACTGAATAAGCACACTTGAAACTTGGAAAGTTATGCTTGTTATTTTTCATAGCTATAACATCAATAAATAAAATATTGAAAAATGGTGAAACTGATTTAAAATTGCCTACCTTGGTCAAGTTTGGCGTGGAAGGCGGCCAGAGAAGTATGGTGGTCAATGTCCTTCTCCGGGTACAAAGCATCACTCGTATACAGTAACATTTCCTCAGAGGACTGAACAGTTCTCACTGTCCTGTAGTACACCTGTGTTTAAAAGTGAAGTACGGTTTAGATAATCATCCCCTAATACCGACTCCAATAGCGTATGTCACTGTCTCTGTGGCTCACGAGGTATATGTCCCTCTCCTATCTGTCAGTCAGTTCCACACGAAAGAATACACCTCCAAAAACGTCGTGTTTAATTGTTCACCCAGAAATAATGAACATAGTTTTAAAAACGGTAAGATAGTTATCAACTAAAAAATGCCTGCCCAAGTTTGACTCTCCAATCAATGATGAACTTGGCTAGTTTCACTTAGCTATGATCTATTTTCCTTTTCTAGCTGACTTGTCAATCACCCACGCACTGACATTTAGACTCCGCCTCCCTATTGATAACAACAGCCAATCAGTAAGCAGATACCCGAACCACTTGCCTAAGCCCCGCCCACAGCAGTATTGGATTTGCCGTGTAACAGTAATCCTAGCGCTTTCACAAAAATGTCATCGGCACAAAGAACTACTGTTGATTTGTTTATAGTAGGCTACCGGCTTTTTTTTCTATTTACAATAGGGTATTACACCAATGTTTCCTCTGTTTGTTTATTTTTAAGACTGTGTCTCTGACATGTACAAATAAGACCTCTAATTGTACTTGTTTTCAGCTAATAGCTACATACTGGTGACACACTGACAAAAATCTTAACAGTTTCTGGTAATCCACTCCCGGTGAAAATCAATATATCCTAACTGTTTTCAGGAGATGTTATATACTGAATACCCAAGCTATAACACTTTTCATGGATGTCAAATCCAATTAATCTCCACTGAAAACAATTAGTGGGATGGCACTGATTGTAAAATCACATGATGACCAAAACTGTAGATAATTCCGAAGAAAATAAGACATTTAAATACATACCCTGTGTCAGTTTTTCAATCAGTAACTATTTTTTCTTTGGATGACACCTGTTAAATCTACATCAGGGATCAGGGGAAAAGATTGTCACTAATACTAACAGAGATTAAAACAGTTCACTAATTTAAAAACAATATTTTTTGGGGACAAAATTAAACAGAGCAAACATGTATATTAAACAAAGGATAATTTAGTCAATATTGACAAAATTTCATGTAACACTTTTAAATATTGTATAAATATTTTAATAGTTGATTTATAACAGTACATATTTATATATATATTTGTATAAACATGTTAAATAAAAATTAATTAAATATTAATAGAATATAATAATGAATTACATAATATACAACATATTCAGTTTAAGATAATTAATAGAAATTTAACTTGAACTTATTCACATAATATTTAAATATTAATTGATTTTAAATATAAGTTTTATTTATTTACTACAAGTATGAAACAAGTTATTTCAACTTATATTAAAATCACTCTTTCTGATGCAGAGGGTCCTAAGTAGAATGAAAGGAAACCAAATACCCTGGGAGAAAATTGATTTTACATGTACTCAGAAGTGTATGTAATATTAAAATCAATGTACAATATAATCACTCTTTTAAATAATTTGATTAAGATAAAATCAAAATTCTAATTAAAATTTAAAAATGTTTCTACTTTGATTTAAGACTGAGAAGTGAGGAGAGTATTTTTTTTAAGGGGTTAACCCATATTTCATGTTTTTGAGGGTGACAAGTGGAGATTTCGGGACCTTGTCACTTAAGTTTCCAGTTGGTAAGCTTCCATTGGAGGGAGACAATTCATGGTTATGTCATGTCAAGGACCCCTATTGTTCTTCGCCCACTTCATGATTAGGGGCTGGGATCAGATCCCTATCCTGAGTCTGACATCTGACCTCCGACCCCTAATCACCTGATCAAGTCCCCTTCTGAACACTCATCAACACTAGGGCCACTCTAGAGTACAGCCTTTCAATTAAACACCATATTCTGTCACATAAGACCTGTCTGTCAAATCTTATTTATAACATTATTGACCATATAACCATATTTTTTAAGGGAAATTATACAACAAACCAGTGTCTTTTACCACACAAGAAAAAAAACATGCATCTGCTTTCTAACAAGAAATTTGTGATTGCAATGTTAAAATAATATCTATGACAATTCTTTTTGAAACTGTAATTGAAGAAAAATCAAATATTGAAGCTCTCCAGAAATGCATGACTGATAGTAACATTACTTTAGTTCATATTTACCTAACTATAACATTTATACAAGTACCACACATGTATAGAGAAAACACCTGTCTACAATGGACTAATATGTACAGTATATAACAAACCTCTACAATGAAAACCCTGTCTATAATGACTAATATGTGCAGTATATAACAAACCTCTACAATGAAAACCCTGTCTATAATGACTAATATGTGCAGTATATAACAAACCTCTACAATGAAAACCCCTGTCTATAATAGACAAATAAGTACAGTATATAACAAACCTCTACAAAGAGAACACTGTCTATAATATACAAATATGTACAGTATATAACAAACCTCTACAAAGAGAACACATGTCTATAAAAGACAAATATGTACAGTATATAACAAATCTCTACAAAGAGAACACTGTCTATAATATACAAATATGTACAGTATATAACAAACCTCTACAATGAAAACCCTGTCTATAATAGATAAATATTTTCTTTATATACCACATCTTTCCATTGAGCAAACCTGTCTTACATATAATAATGGACAAATATGTACCAAACCTCTGTTAAGAGAACACTTGTCTATAATAGACAAATATGTACAGTTGTAAAGAAACCTCTGCAATGAAAATCCTGTCTATAATGGATACATATTACTTTATGTACCACATATTTCCATTGAGCAAACCTGTCCATAATGGATAAATATGTACCAAACCTCTGTTAAGAGAATGCCTGTCTACAATGGATTAATATGTACCTTATGTCCAGGGATTTTGACCTTTACATAGAGACCACCTGTCTTTAGTAGAAAAATATACCAAACCTCTAAAAAGAGAAAACCTGTCTAAAATGAACAAAAATATTATGTAAATAGACAAATATGTACGGTATATATAATGGTAACAAACTTGTGCATAAAGACTATCTGTTCATAATAGAGAAATATAGAGAACACCTGTCTAAACTGGACAATTATGTACTTATACATCAACCCTTTATAAAGAGACCATCTGTCTATAATGGACACATATATATATGTATATATACTTTATAAAAAATAAAAGACAAAAGTTTCTTCGACTTCCCTAGCGCTTTCACCTCTTTCCACCATCAAAAGGACTTTGAATGTTTTTACACTGCCACACCTGTGCATAATGTTCAAATATGTGCATAATGTCCACCTGTCTATAATGTTCAAATATGGTATGTCTGATATAAATTGGGGACACGCCTCTACATTGAGAACATTTTCTACAACGGACAACTATCTTATGTTTATATACTGGTACAAGTAACAGTTTACAGATATAGAAATAAAAATCAAACCGTTAGGTTACCAGACCAAACATGTCAGTGTTTGTAAGAATTAATTAACCTTCCCTTCATTGATCCGAATGTCTCTAAGACAAAATGGCTATATCTCTTGTCTTTGTCAGTATCACATTTAATCTCTGGCTCTCAAACATAATCTGTCCAATGATTCTAGACGGGACAATCTGGCCGTTTATCTCCGAGGGGATAATATTTGAGGACACTTGAGCAAGCAGTTGGGCACGTGTGATCACAAGTGTCCAGGGCTTTTGATTCTTCGTGATGACCACTTCCAATAAAACAATGCAAAGAGACCCATCTGTCTCTGACTCTTCAATTAGCTATTGTCATCAATAAAGGTTATGTCTGAGAGCCATTGCGGGACATGAAAGGACCAGAGGAGTGCCGAAATACCAGTAAATACCCGAAATGAAGAGTATGTGCTTTAATAATATGAAAACATTGCCCGATCACATCTAACAGAAAAGATGGTTATTGGTCATGCTCATATCTTTAATTGTTTTTTGTATAAATATTTGGCATCTCATGTCAAAGTTATCGATAATTAATCAAAGTTAAAGGGCATATTAAGCAGATGCAACATGAACTTCAATAAATTCCTCTCTAGACAGTTTAAAGTAATTTTATGTCACACATATTTTCTTTCAGATAAATATTATCCTGCTTACATTTAAAAGTATGTTGTTCTTGTACAAAAAATCTATAAAATGATCTTGATTTATAAAATATTCAATATATTTTCTGTCAAAAAGTACCTTTCCTTTTTTTGTAAAAGACAGAAGATAAGTCTATGTATATAAGATGCTTGCTGACTAGGCCGCGTAACTGTGATCCAAGAGTGATGCTTTGATAAAAGGTATTTATAGTCAAGGGCGGTCAGGTGGTGCAGTGGACATAACACACTCGTCTTTCACCAAGACGGCCAGGGTTTGATTCCACAATTGGATGTTAAAAGGTATGGGGTCACCTGCCCGACCATGTGGATTTTCTCTGGTACTGAGAGTGATTAAAATAAGCTGAAATGACTTGTTTCATAATTGTTGTAAAAGAAATAACGTTATATTAATTAAAAGTAAAATTGAATCATGCTGCAGCCGAACAGTAAGATTGAACAGCTTCGACCCAGGATTAGCTCTTTGATAATCTGGTCAAAGCACATGTACCACTGTCTATCGATCTGCATTGTGATTGGTCAGTTTTTGATATCTGGAACCAATCAAATAGCTTAGTACTGTGAGCCTTTGATTTTGACATGACATATTTCCTCTGATCATTATACTGTTGACCAACCAACTGAGCTAGTGATATCAGTACCCTGGTCCAATCGTGCTATGTTTATAGAAAACAAAATTATGGGGAAAGTTAATTACAATATGTACGAAAAAATACAGTGTAATTCTCTAGTGTTTCGCTTGTAGTAGGTCGGGATCCTTTTAAGTGTAGTGGAGGGATGCACTTGCTAAGTTAATGTCACTGTACTTTTAGGAAAATGGCTCTGTCGTGAACAAATCTGTAATTTTGGAAAACAGTACTTAGTACCAATTACATTAAACATGGTTTTAAAGTTGAATGAAATGGAACTGAAGTTGACAGGCTGAACACAAATATGCCCCTTAAAAACTTCTCAGAATCCATCAGCCAAGCTGTTTGTCTAAAGAACCTCAATGATTTTAAAGACACAAAATATAACCATAACTTAAATAAAGCTTGAATGAATCCCGAAATGTTTAGTATGTAACACCTAGGAGAGTCTTAACCAGATGTCACAGTAAGATACTTAAAGCTTGGTCGAAGTGGAAAACATGAAACTCTCGAAAACACAAAAAAACATTCTTAAAGTCTTATAAAGCTGTCCTTCTCAAGTGGGATCCTACACAGAAAGTCTCAGACTTCCTTTTATACAATCATCCTCACAGTCATTGGTTTTCTGGAGCATTGATAAGGATCTTTCCACAAGAACGCCATACATCCGACTTGGTCAGCTTTCACAGAATGAAGAATCAAGGAAAAACTCTAGTACTCCTAAAAAAATATTTTTTTAACTGCCGATAAATTTAAACGTGTTGACTGCTTTAGCCTCGAAAATTTAAATGTTTAAATTTCTAAACAGATTTTGAGGATGGAATTTTTGGTGAGGGGTTTAAAGCTAACAATACGGGTACAGGCTGGCGATGACTCTAAGGATCCTTTCAGTTATCCCAAGCTGCCCTGGTCACTGGGACCTTGGTTGTCATGTTTCAGATTTACCCCATGAAGTGAGAGATGACATTTTTCCAGCATCCCCAACTTTCTGTAAAGTAATTTATGCCACATGTTCATTTCGTTTTTATGATTGCAACAGGAGGGCCGGCTGGAAGCTGTAGTTGTTTGTCTTTTGAGAAGATTTTCACACGCTTCAATTTTTTGTCTTGAAAATGTCATCATCATGCTTTTAAATTGCCTCTTAGAGTTCTTTGTTAGAAATAATATTATTCCATTTGTCTTTTTTGGAATATAAACCATGAGACCAGGTACTTGTTAGCTTTGACCATGTGGCTGACTTTTTTAGCAATATTGAATTATTACCTTAATAGTAAACTGTCTGGTAGGCATTTTACCACACCCCTTCACAAATTTGTTAACATTTGTAGTAAAATGATTGAATATTTCTTAGTCCAATTTATTTACGGTAGTGCTAAACATTTCTTGACTCAAGGGCTCTTGATCAGATTGACCAACATTTTGATTTAGTGTACCCATCAAGGATACAAGGTTTTCCTCAACTCATTCACCCCTGAAGACATATTTCCAATTCAAAGATTGGAATAGTTCATTATGAAATTTCAGGGGTGGATGAGTTAAAAATGATGATTTAATTGTCATAAGGAGACAGAGGAATGCAGTCTTTATGTCTATCCATCAAATCTCTCCCCCTCCCGCTCTAGAGCAGGAAAATATTGCATAATAATCTTCAACCCATAAATTGTTATTTGCAGTATTAGATAGATAGACTGGAAATACGAGGAACAAACAAACCATTATTTTAATGACATAAATTTATTATCACTTGAACTTGTCTGAGAAACAAGATCACTGTGATATATCAGGGTTCAATATGTGGAACACATTCTTTGATTTCTGCTGAACAACCATAAAATATTACATTCTTTTTTTTATTTCAATGTTTTTTGAAGTGGCAAATTAAAATACGAAGTGTACATAAGGTACATATTTGAAATTATGATTTTATTTTTGATACAATTCAAAGTTTTATCTTGACAGGGTAAAAGGTTTTCACAGCGGACCATGAGGTTTCTATGCGTGGATACCACACTAATTCAAAGAGGATAAAGTAGGATTTTACCACTGTCTATAGGCATGTACAGTAAAAAGAAAATTGAACAAAGTTGACCAAATAAATTGTGTGACAGATATAACAAGAGGCCCAAAGTTCTTGTATCGCCTACCTAGACACATTAAAATTAATATTGTAAATACTGTCCTTATATCAGGCTCTGTCTGTTTGGTCTCGGGGATGCTTTGTTAAGTAAATATGGTTGAGTTATAGGGGTGGGATATCAACTGTTTCCATGAATAATAACTTGAAAAAAAGCCCCTAATTGTTGGACTAAAATATGAGCTTTACCTCTGATTCAAACTTAAACTGCAACACTGTGGGGTTTTTTCATTTGGGCACTTATATCTTTCAATTTGGTGATCAGGTTATGCAGTAGATAGCACACTTGCCTTTAACCAAGATGGTCAGGGTCTACTACCAGATCAGATGTGAAAAAGTATTGGGTCAACTGCTGGAGTTTGTGGGTTTTCTCCAGGTACTCTAGTTTCCTCCCACATTAAGACCCTTTGCTTGCTGTCATCCGGGCCAACAAGAGTGATAAATATAATGTTGATAAAACTTGGTTCATAATTATTGTAAAATATAATTTTTATAAAGTTTGTATCGTCTAAATTTTGATTTTAATGGGTATGATTAAGAAAATATAACTCATTTACCCCTAAAGACATATTTGAACCCTTCCAATACAAAGGTTGGAATAGTTCATTATGAAATTTCAGGGGGTGAATGAGTGAACTTTCCTGTAATGAACCATTAGAAATTTTTCATAAAACATTTTCCACAACAAAATGGCTTCACTGGTGTGAGTATTCGTATGATAGTCTTACCTGTTTGTCGATTTGTATGGCCATGAGATTACGAGATTCACAATCCTCCGTACTTCGTATGTACTTCATCCAGTTTCCAGTTCCGGGTTCACTAGCGTCAATCCATCCCTTCACGTTGTGTTCTTCATCAACAATCTGAAATAGGAAATATTCGGTGAATACTCTATCATTGAACAAATGTCCCCATAAACTGTGACAGTTTGGAAACAGGAAAAATAGAAACAGCTTTCATGTGTCAAGCTTCGAAAATCAAGATCTATTAAAAACTCCATCATGAAGCAGCTCTAATTTATTTGACTGGTTGAAATAAAGTCTAAAAATGAAGTCCAAAACTTTATTCCTCAATTGTTTACTGCATTGAAACAGAATAATTCTATTTCTGATATAATCATCGAAATTAAGAGCTTGCATGGTTGTCCATTTGAAGGGTGCCTTGAGATTTAAAGTGAATTAGGATTTTCCTTCTATTTCAAGATTTTTCTGATGAAATAAGACAGTTACATTTTTAAATTTAAAAACTCACTTTGCAAAATTGCAAAATAAAGAGAGTGACCAAATGCTGTTATAATTTTCTTCAATTGACGTACACTGTGTAGCAAGGAAATATCAAGAGTGATTCTGAGTGTTTTAATGCAAATAGAACAGGCATAAACAACGTCACTGTCACCATGAACGCCCTGACAGCCGACACTGGGTACAATTGAGACCGTAAGGGCCGCCATTGTCACACCACACAATACAAGACTTTCTCTTGTCATTATCGCCACGCCCACTTAACATCATTACCCGAAAAAGGCAACAATTGTTGGAGACACTTCCCATCATTTCGAACCGATCATTCACAAGATCCACCAATGAAAATCTGCCTTCTGCAGTAGTGTTATAGCTATATAGCTATCATTTCTGTGATCTGATTGCGAGTCAGCCAACTGCAGATTATCGATTGTGGGAATTAAGAGCTGTGCTTTTAACTAAAAGTTGCGGGTGATTTTCTTTCCAGCCTTTTTTTTTTCATCTTTTATTCTTTACCGCAGAGAAATGACAGCTGTTTTTAAGCTTATTTCCTTTTCAGCGGAGATACCTGCCAAACTGTTGTATATGCCCTGTGCGGTGAACCGTATTCCTAAATGGGATTCACCTGTCCCCATCTTAGAAATCGTAATATCGACAAGCGATTTCCTTCTGATTTTCAACTGAACCGATCATTGTCAAGATTTGATATAGAAATGAGTGAAAACACACGTACGTTTCTGATGTCCAGGATGATCATTTCTTTGTAAGAAATACAGCTATCATCTCACAAAAAAGATTGAATTTATGCCACACGCACCAAACAAAGCCTAAAAATATGTCATATCTTGCAGCACAATGATATTTGTCTGCTGTAGGTCTTTCAGCTTGAAAACCCCCATTATCATAAGGCACAAGATTTGCACGAAGGGTTCAAATGCATTTTCTAGTCAGTCGTCTGAGCATAAGGAATTGACATTTTACACATTCCTGGATTTTTAAAAATGTATTGCCTTAAACTGACTAATTTATAAAAGCAAAGTATATATTGTCAAACAGTTCACTGTTTCCAAGGATATTATATACAAAATTCCATCTTTTGGGAGGTACACAATTCAGTTTTTCAGCTTCTAATTTGGCTCTACCATAGAATGGAATGGTTAACCACCTGAGTAGCTCATTTTGCAGTGGAATCAAGATTCCCATTCGGGTTTAATGCTGAAAGACAATTGCTTTCTGGCCTGAAGCTCAATATAAATGACACAGAATCAGTGTCCAGTAGATGAGGAAGTTAAACAATGACCCTCCCTTTCCCTGGACATAATTAGACTCCAACTAGCAAAACTAAAACAGTGATCTAATGTTTTCTGGACATTTATATATACCAAAATGGATGAAGAAATTAAATGTGACCGAAAGTTTCATACAAAAATTAAAGGACGACCCCGATGTTTCTGTGCATAAGACTCCAATAGGTGACAATATTAAACATTGTCCCCATATTTCCTGGACATAAGACCCCAATGGGTGATCCACTTTTTTTCTATACATAAGACTACAATAGGGATAGTGAAACATGATGCTTTGTTTCCCTTCATGAAACATGATTAATCTTAGGGAAACAAAGAATCATGTTTCCCTATCACAAGAGGAAGCAAAAAAATCCCCCCCTGAATTTTGACCGAATGAAAACAACAATGGGTTCCCAAAAAGCACCCTCACCTTGTTTTTTCAAGCTAATAAAACTTTTTAAAATATCATATAAAGATATTCCAATTCGACCTGAAAGGTCTTATTCGGATGTCACCATGGCCCAGCCTTGGGTTTTTTTTCAGACTTGTCTTCTTTTAATTAACTACAAAGTTGACATTCCTCACAGATACTTGGCAGGTTCCTAGAAGTGGAACTCTTATGGCATGAAGGTGCATATCCCAGTATTATGATGTGTCATTAACAAATTAATCCTAATATTAAACCAACTCCAGGTCAGTTTGGCCGAATTATAGCCATATTAGATAAAGCTCATCCCAGACTTGACCATCACCAGCCAACAATATCAATTTGTCCATCACTGGCCATTAGGTCATTAATACTGTGGACTCATCCACAAATACCTAAAATGTATCTACTGTAAGTGGTCGTAGTCAGCACTGGTCAAGTATGGCATGCTTCACGCAGTAGGCATAAAATATATCTGAAAGTTACTTTCTTTACAGAAATGTCCTTTCCTTGTAATTTAAGGTCAAATATATGAGACAGGATACATCTGATGTATTACCTTACTCTAGATAAATATATAATATACATGTTTAACATCCTACCTGAAAATGTCCTAAACTCCGTAAAAACAATAGATAAAAATGTCTGCATGTTTGGTATATATACATATTAGATGGGATGAATCACCAAATGTTTAGTTAATCAATTAATGCACGCAGGATATATAGCAACACTTAATTGGTGTTTATCTCATTTGCATAATTAATTCTGTAATTACAGGAAGCCCTAATGACTGTTAATTCTAGACTAATATGAACATAGATGCTGTCATTATTTGGTACAAATTCTGTTTCGGAGAAAAAAAACCCGGAAAGGCCATCTTAATAAAATGTCAACAAAACCACAACAGGACATTGTCCTCCCTCACTGTAAATAGAGATAAAACAATGTCATCCGCTTGTGTGCAAACAGAAAATAGATTTCAATGAAATTCCAAAGCATATACCTCCCAAAAAAATCTCATTCTTAAATTTTAACAAATTTCTTATTTTGAAACATGTTTGCTCTACAACTTATTCAGATACACTAACATATTCAGTTTCTTTATCTGAAATCAAGTTAAAAATCTTGCATTGATTTCTGTTAGTAATGTAAATCCTTTACACCCTGCAGTTAGCCCAGGGGACAAACATATCTGTGTGTGTGTGTGTGTGTGTGTGTGTGGGGGTGTGTGTGTGTGTGTGTGTGTGTNGCATTTCTTCTGAATTGTAATATATTTCGGTGGGCTTGTTACCAGGCATGGGCTTATTGCTGGGCAAATTAGTTTAATCATGTTAATTCCTTACAACCTACAGGACATGATGCTAGAATCCAAAAGTATATTTAAGAGAATTTAATTTAGTATATGAAAGCTTAAGACAAGCAAAGTCTTAAGTGAAGCTGATGTAATATTTGGATTTTTTGTTGTTGGTTTGTATGTGTTAACACCCTATTAACAGCTATGGTCATTTAAGGATGTGCAAGGCTTTGGTGGTGGAGGAAAGCCGGAATTCCTGGAGAAAAAACACCGAACTACGGCCAGTACTTTATGACTGCCACACGTAGGCCTTCAAACCTGCGTCCAAGTGGTGGAGGGCTGAGTGTTGGCAGAAATTGTCAGACGCCTTAACCACTTGGCCACCACGGCCCCATTAATATTTGGATTTCTGCAAACTTTCGTTTAAGTTGTGTTGAATTAAAGTACAAAAACAGTTTGCACTACAGTTACACCTGCGTTAAGAGTCCATCCTCAGTCAAAACATGGTTTCTGAAGACAGACAATATTTGTTTACAATGGAACTTCTATGACGAGGAACATTAACAGCATTCTCTGACCGACTCATTGATGGTTCTTAACATGTTTGTTCTGGCTATAACCACGTCTACAACAGAAAGCTAGTCTCTGGTTGATTGATTTGTGGTTCTTAGCTTCCTTGTTTTGGTTATAACCAGGTCTTCAATAGAAAAATAAAGCTCTTAACTCATTAACCCCTAAAGTTTCATAATGAACTATTCCAACCTTTGAATTGGAAGAGTTGAAATGTTTCTTCAGGGGTGAATGAGTAAATTAATTTATTAACCAATGGTTCTTGACAACTTTGTTCTGGTTATAACCGAGACAATGACAAAAAATAATTATCTACTTTATGGACTGATTGGTGGTTCTTAACTGCCTTGTTCCAGTTTTAACCAAGTCGAGGACAGAAAAGTGGTTTCTTACCACAGGTTGTCCTTTTATAAAGGTGGTCAGAATGAGAAAGTTTGACTGTACACGGAAAAGCGTCAGCAGTTGAAAAAGTCGGGCTTAATTCCGTATTGTCAGAGACCAGACTATTTAATGAGTGGCTCGGTGTATAGGAATTCTAATGACTACAATCAATGATGGTCGACCCCAATCAGGGACGGCTAATACCTATTAACATACAGCCTCACACCAAATAACATCTTCTTTTTTATTGTGCGTCATTTACGATAATCGGCCAATGACAGATGATATTACGGGAGAATGGCTTGTGACATCATCGACAGACAGAATGCCACCAGCTGCGATCAGTCGTATTAATTAATCATTATTTTCAACCCAATCTCTCAGATGTGCATGACAAACAAAGCGTCGATTAAGTCTTCATCAAATATAAACACAGAAAGCAGATTGACCGTGTTATTTATGCATGTATAAATAGGCGAAAATTAGACAATAAGTCGAAAAAAATGTATTTACCCTCACAGCCTTCCGTTTTTCTTTTGTTTTCCTCTAGGTCAAAAAAATTATAATCATACAACCTATGTATTTGATTGTCACACTTTCTAATAGTATGGTCATGTTGATAGCACATTCTTGCAGCCGACAGACTAAGTTCCCCTGA